GTCCTTTCCACTTGACCTCAGAAACTCAGAACTCTCAGCCCTCAGAAAGTCTCATTCCTTGACTGTTTTTACATAGTCCTGTGGGCATAGTCATGTTACATTCACTGGCCATTACTATCTGTCTTTTCCCTGTTCTTTGTCTACTAACTTCTTAAGAAAAATATCGTTACTACAGCACTGCCCTGAGAAAGCAATATGGTGAATGTGGGGATCCATAAATACGATCCATAATTTTAAAAAGTAGTCATTTACATCATTTTGGGATTTTTTAGACACTGTTTATCATATGCTTCTTCAAATGCAGTAACAGATGACTGTAACAACTTCTGGTGCTATTGTGAAGGCAGACCTCTCTTTTATAAGCTGAACACTCCAGTCGTCTTCCCACTCATTACATCCTACATGTTGTCAATCTTAGTTTCAAGAGCTGTCAGTCAGAAATGCAGTGGATGATATGTGCAGTATTTTTTAACAACCCTAAGGTGGGCATTTCTTTGATTTTTCTTTATTTTCTTGATTGCAAAGTGCAGTATATGTCTTGCATACATTCAAACACAAAAGTACATGGAAAACCTATTTTGAAAAATGAAAACAGAACTTTCGTACAGTAACCCCTACAGCTAATCAAAGCTTTATTGTTAGTCTTGATTATTTCATATAGTGGTTCCTGATATTATAATTACCTCTTTAGGCTTAAGGTTATTGATTTAGTAAGAGCAATTATGAAACATTAAAAAAAGAAAGAAATGTCAAAATAATTTGTTGAAGCACATTGTAACTTTTACAGTTCTATCAGTAATAGTAATCAAGATGCCAGAAGAAGGGGAAGAAGAAGGAGAAGGAGATGGAGAGAGTAAGGAGGAAAAAGGAGGAAAGGGTAGCACGGGAGTGGAAATAAAGACAGTATTAAATGTGTGATTGACTCAATATCTGATTTTTATGTTTTAATATTAATCAAATTACTGCTGCTATCCGTAGAGATGTACAGGTATCTCATATAACAATAAACTACAAGAAAAATGCTGTTCTTATGTAATTCACCTACAGAATTTCTGTGAAAATTGTTTTTTTTTACTGTTTGAGGGAACACATTTTTGACAAATCTTTCACAAAATCTCAGGAGGCTTACCTGCTGCCATTTGTATCAGAAAATGACAGTTTCACTTATCCTTATAAAGCCTCTGATGACATGTAATTTAAATAACTTGCCAGACTTGCTGAGCTGGTTTGTCTCAAAAGCATTGAGACTGACCAGTGGGTGATCTATTATGGTGTTATGGAATTGATACTGATATTATTTCAGCAGCAGTATATACAGAACAAAAAGCCTTTGGTCCCTACAATAACAAATGAAAACAAAATTGCATGCTCTATTCTGGTGCTAAAAAATATTTTCCTTCTGTCTTCCCCAGTAGCTTGACTCTTTTCCGTGACGATTCATGATGATTCAGTGGGAGTTTCAGCAATATCACAAATTTCCAGTTCAGACCTGAACAACTTAATGAATTTTGTGGGGTGACCAAGAAGTTAATCACTGATGGTAGTATTGCAGCTTTAAAAAATACATACTTACACAGCTTGAAATAGCAAATGTATTGTCACGTCTGACAAACGTTGCTCATAATGGATATATGTAGATACTCCTGACTACAGAGACTATCAAATGTTGCTAGAATTGCTGGTGCTGAACAATACTGAAGGCAAAATTAAAGACTGTCAGTCATTCTGTGTTCCAAAAAGCCTTATCAACTCTAGCTTCTCATCTTTTTAAAACTCCTTTCTGGGTCTCAAAAAGTACTGATTTTCTATAATGGGGCATTATAATTTCTCTTCCAATACTTGACCCACAGGATACCAGCAGAATTGACTAGTTTTCAATTTGTCTGACTGCTGTTTTCTGAAAGGGTTCTTTGGACTATAATCTATTTTATGGCTAATTCTTATATTTTATTCTCTATCTATGGGTATAACTGATGAAATGAAGGCAGCTAAATAACTTTCCAAGCTCTTCACCCTATTGTAGGTGGTAAAGGAAGGTAAGTACATAGAGAATGCAGAAATGATACAAGTGAGCTTTCACACACCCAGCTTTTTTGACACTTTTTTGAACTTCTCCAACATTTTTATCAACAATTTGATTTTCAAGATTTCATTGCTTCATTTCTAGTAAGAAGCAGATACCTGTTTCCTGTCTAGGGCATGGTAGATGAAAAAAATCCCGATTATATCTCTGTGTCACCATCCTCTGCATGTCACATACAGGAAAGATGGCCAATTCTAATAGCACTTCAAAATATAAGGAAAATAATAGCTCACGTGACCAGAGTCACAGAGTGTGGTATACTTGAAACATACTAAAAGTGTGGACTGGAGCTAATTTATGAACAACTGTTCAGAGGCTATACCTTTTTCATACCTGTTCTGAAGTGTTCCTGACCTTACTTTGCCTTGCCTTTCTTACTTTTGAGAGCTACTTACAGATTTTTTAAAGAGGGCCTATGTAAGAACTAGATTTTTAGTTCAGTGAGATTCCCATGCATTGCAGTAAGGGAGATTTAAAGGAATACAAGATTATGCAAAATTAAGTGTATGTTGCACATTCTTTAACTCCTTCTCATTCTAGAAGGCAAAGATGTAAGATGAAAAGGATCATCATCTGCCTGGAGCTGATGAATCAAAGTATGAGTGAGAAATAAGACTTTAATTTGTTGCTGGTAGTTGTAAGTAACAATCCCCACAAATCTAGTACCAGTGGGGAGCAGAGCTGATTAAGGCTTCCTGGAACCACACACATACCCCTGGAGTGCTTAAATAGGAGGAATTCTTGTTTCTATTTACTGAGTTGTGGCCCAACCTAGCACTAAATTAACAGATAAAAATGGCAATTTCTCAAATAAATGTAAATAGAATAACTAGAAATATATTTAAAGTACTCCACAGTTAAGTTTTTTCACAAAAATTAACCATAAACACCACATTAAATTTTCACTTCATAAATAAAGAAGGAAAAAAGTAAGAAGAAGTAGCACTTTTGGAGGAGAAGGAAGAATAACTCTTAGCTCTCTGTCTAAATCCAATTGCAATATGTTATGATTCTTCTCGACCCCTGAATTTCTTCCTGATTGTATTTCCTTTAAAAACATGGTTGTACAGATACTGAGTAAATACACTGAGACACAACAAGTTATTTCCATTTTAAAAATCCAGTGGAAAAACATGTGCTGAGAAATTGATTAAATCATGCAGGTGACAACAAATTCAGAAATTCTATAAAAATTTCATATTTATATAATAATCTGTTAGCATAGGTGATTTTGAATCTTAACCAAAATCTTTCAACATTGTGTAGATTGCGAAAAGGATATCCTACAGATCTTACAGATATAGACTGTATGCCTTTCTGCACATTTTTGCCTCTGACAAAAACACCAAGTAAAAGAAGGTTCTCCCAAGTACTAAAATAGGCTGTAGGAAAAAATTGGCAAAATGATGAAACACATACATGCCAGATGGCTGTGTTTCCATGTTCCAGTAGAAGGGTGTTATAATTCCATTCTTGACTGCAGTTCTTTACATAAAAGACACCAAAAATAGAATGTATTGCAAAACCATATTCAACCATGAGTATGAATTTTAGGAGTCCCAGTACATAAAAGGAAATGAGTGCTACATCACAATTTTTAAATATATTTAACACCTCTTTAAAATAAAGTTAAAGACAGGCCACACAAAACAAAAAAATCTCTCTAAAGCTATCTAACAAAAAAAAACAACTGAGTCTGAGCTTGCAGTGCTTTTTTGAGCTGTTGGGTGTTTTGTTCAATCAGAGCACCCTTATCTCTTGAGACAGCCTAGAACAAAATTTTAAACAGTGGCTAGTTGTCCTGTTTTGCACAGCAGATTACATAGAAATCCAGAAAGGGGTTCAACAAACCAAGAGATATTATAAATCCATCTTACATCTTAAGATGTAGACCTTATTACATCTCAGATCTATGCTTCCTATAAAGGCTGTAAAGCCACATATGCAGGTATTTCCTGACCTAAACAAGAGCATGCAATTTCTGTAGCACAGCAGACAAAACATTTTGCATATGGCGTGAATTTTGAGATCATTTCATATCAGAGATATTCTGAACTAAAAAACAAATTAGAAAAGAAGGGGGTTTGGAAATTTAGCAGTTGGGTTTTCTCCTGCCTGTTCTGGCCAAAGCCTTTTTGTCCCTCTTACACAGCGTAACAGAGATTCAGTAATCCAAAATAAGAGTTTCTCCATTATGAGCTATTGCTAATAGATACATTCTGAAGTGTTGTTTTGAATGCAGAAGTTTAATTTCAACTTTAAAGTTCGCTTTGATTGTCCAATACTAATCTGACCATGAATGCTTTATTCCAGTGCCTGAAAATTCATATTCTACTGCTAGACATATTCTTTCTACAGTATTTTAAGAAGGTAGAGTTTGAAATAACAGGACTTTCCAAAACACAGAAATACTTCAAATTTATTACAAACTTACAATATCTTATGGTTAAAGAACTTGAAAAAGAAAGATTTATGGTTTACGGTTGCATGCTCCCAAAATAGAATTTATTTTTTTCTGTCTAATCTCTACAAAGTGAATGAGGAAAATATTTCTGTTTAAAAGACAACTACAAATTATACATTCCAAGATGACTACTGGTAAAATTTAACACTCTTGAGGAAGATTCTTTTAATGAAATAAAATTTCTTATAGAATTCTGGATAAGAGGAAGGTAAAAAGAGAAATACAATTTTCAAATAACTGGTTAAAGTTAAATAAAAGTAGGATTTGTGAATAAAAACTGTGAAAAAAATTAACTAGGAAGCTAAAAATATAATAAAACTGATGGAAATAGTCACTTTGAAATTTATTATATGCAGAAAAAGTGGTGTTGAAAATAAGTCTGCCTTCTGAAAATAATAATTCACAATAGAAGTAAATTCTCCTTTAATTTTTCTGTATTGTATCAGAGTTGCATTGAAAAATGAAAAGTAAAGTATTTTGAGGATAAAAAGCTGAGTAAATACATGAGATGTGAAAGACATTGACAGCAAAATATCTTCAAAAATGAGAAGTCAGACACAAAAAAAACCCTAGTTACAGTATGCATGTCTTTGTACAGGAATCTTTGCAGAGCTAACTCGAGATATGAGAATGGTGTTTCAGAGTATGTCTCCTCAGGACATCGCTGCCATACAGATACAGTTGACAAGCTACATTGATCTAAGTCACCTTTGCATGCTGTCAAACAACTTAGCACTCCCTTTCACTTCACCCTGCAGTTCATTGACAGTTCACACTGCTTGTATGTCAGTTTGCTCCTGGGCTCTCTTTTGAACTGTCACAGCTAATTTTCTCTCAGGGAAACTCCAGGTGGGGATAATTTACTCCAAAGTAAACCTATAGACAATATGAATAAGACCACAACAGGTCTCTCTGCACATCTGCACCACCACAGTCACACACATGCACACCTGCATGGTACACACCAAGCCCTCCGCTGTAAAGCCAGACCTTTGCTGCCCAACAGTTCTCACATCATACTGCCAGCCATACAACACACATATTGGGTACAATTTCATAAAATAACCTCTTGTGGAATAAACGGGGTCTTAGCCTTCCTCTGGCACCCTAAGACCTTTGGGGGTGGATGGTGACAGCGATGTAGATCACCAGCCATACCAGAAGCAATACAGGCACCATTAGTGAGGTCCTTAGTCCAGACCAGGAACCCTCTTACTAGCTGTTCTTCCACACTGAGTACATTCATGTTTAGAATATCCACTCCTGTGCCTGAAGCAGCACAGCAGGGTTCATAGAAGAAGACAGAGGGCTTGCTGCATTCTGGCCTGCTCCATGCTGTGCACAAACACTGGTAGTTCCTCAAAACTAATATTTAAATTTAAAGGTGTAGAAGTTCATTATTCACCCAGAACATGCTCCCAGCACAGATGTACTTGTTGGTGGATTGTTTAATTTTCTTCAGTTCAGAACATAAAAACTTCATACTGTCAGTGTCATACATATAATACTGTATAACATTTTAGTGAAATACATATCAAAGTTATTTACAAAGGAAGCTACTGTCTTCCAAATACTACCACTACCATAAGAAAATGCTATTGACTGCATGATGAGTTTTTCATTCTCTAACTTATTTTCCTGTTCACAGCATAGGGAGCTGGAGGATGCAGTCTGAAGAGTCTGAATACACAGTTCATTCATGGAATGAATTTCTTTAAAAAATCAGGGTGTATATTAAATATCCAGGGTCACTGGAAATAATCTTTAACATGATGATATGTTAAAGACATCATGATAGGACTAAATGAAGATTCTGAAACTATTTCTATGCATGAGTACTTATCTCATAAATTATATCTTTTATTGTTGTTTTATATTTACTTTTAGCTAACACAACAACCTTGTTATCAGTGTCCTCTCTCAAATAAATATACCTGAACTAAAACCTCAGCTTTATAATAAAGGCTGTCTTTTTCATAGGAATAAGATTATCAGGCTCAACACCACATATTTATACCTATAGCCAAAGAATTAGTGTTACTTTCATTTCTTTTCAACATTTTTTTCATATGAAAATGACAACAACCTGAAACTAGTCATATAACTGAAATACTGCCAAAATATATTTAAAATCATTTGAATATTTATCACATTATTTATCTCCTTTCTCTCATTGTAGGAAAACTTTACAATACTTAGACAATAAAAACAGATGAGGGGAGGAGTACAAATCAATAAATATTTCTGATAATGGGACTGAAACATATTCTACTGTGGCATGTTTTCTGTTTCCTTAGAGGAGGGCGGGAAAAAAAGGGAAACAAAAAACCCCAAGCCAAACCAGAAATAATGGTGAGAAAGCAAAAAGTAAAAATGCTTTAAAAATAAAGTTTCAGTCTTCATGGCTTTGACATAATGCTGGCTTTCCCCCAGCATTTCTGCAGAAGGGTGTGGAGGCAGAATGCTCTGCACCCTCACACAGCCAACACATGGTCAGTGTTTAAAATTTACTCTCAAAAGATCCACTCATTAAATTCAAGGGAAATCAGTGCTCACATCTCAAAGAAGATTTCACTCAAACCTAACTCAGGTTAAATCATTGGCTCAGCAAATTCAGACATTTCCATTATGTTTAGAACGTTAAGCCACTCCTTCCAGCAATGCTTGAAAGAGACATTTCTTCTTCCTTTCTTCCTTTCCTTTGAAATCAGTTCCTTTCACCATAAGAAGCATGCTGGAAAATTGTGAACTGCAAAGAATTATTAAGATAAGTTAGTGAAAGAGGTGGGAATAGAAATCAGGAACTCTAGGCCTTATTCATGTGCCTTGAGGCTAAACGAGAATTACATAATATGAGTTTTCCTATATCAGACACCCACTATTATACATTACAGAAAAGCATGCCTCTAAGAAATTTTTATGGTAATCCTTTTTTCCTTGATTGGCAATGTCAAGACATCAGCATCTTTTAAAAAATGAAAGAAGAAACTACTCTATATTCCATGTATCTTAGTGTTTCAATCTATATAAAGCATTCACTAAGTTTATTATACCATCTACTTGACTTGAAGGGGGAGGAATTAATAAAATGACAAAATCTAGTAAGGCAAGTCTCAAAAACTTACTGATTAAATTACTTGTTCTGTCGCTGCAATGATAACATTTCTTAAAGTCTTTACTGAGATAAAAGAACTTGTTTCTCGTCACAGAAATCTATCTGTGGGAAAGGTAAATTATTTGCTATAATCTATATTCAATATATTCTTTCACAACTAGAAAAATAAAGTCAATTATAAAAGAATCCTTCAAAAACAGAAGGTAACAGGAAAGACAGTCATTCCCAAAGCAGTAGTTGCTTCTGGTCATTTCAGAAGAATTTCACACTACCCTGTAAAGATTAGAGCACATTTATATATATATAAGACTTACACGGAGATGATTTGGATGTTTTTTCTTCCTTTGACTTTATTAGGGTCCTTTGTAAGGTCTTTTGTCTTAAGATGGAAAAGTAGGGAGTTTTCTACTGCCATCTGTTGATGAATTAGGAATAGAATTGAAGTCCATGGGTGAGCAAGCTTGGTCCCACCATGCTTTGGTGAGCAAGAGAAATTGAAGCTTGGAAAATAGTCAGTCTGCATTACATTTCCCTGGGAGGCCCTCCAGGACTCATCAGAACAGCAAGCTAACTCCCAATGGCATGGAGAGAAAGAAAAGGTTCTGTTTTGTGGTTAGGGCTCAAAGGTCACCTGATTGATCCCATCTTGTCACCAAAAATTTTGTGAGGAAATTATACAAATGTGGTTGTAGGAAGTCATCTTTGCAATAGAAGAGCACTGTGTTAAACTGGCAGAAGGTAGCAATAGAAAATCTAATTATGGCTGTTAAAATCCATTCTGACAAGTCCTGAAGACTTCAGAGGGTAACCTAAAGGTGCACTGGATTGAAGCACTTTTTCAAAACTCCATAGCATCTCAGAGTTACTACATCACAAAAAAGATAAAGCAGCCATATATATTCAAATTCAATGCTTAAAGGACAGTGATTCCAATGGATTAAAAACGTTTGGTAGACAGTTTTTGCAAAGCACACTGACTGAATATGGCTACATTTGTATTTGCTACCAATTCTGGACAGAAATATAGTAAGATTACTACTGCAGCCAAGGGGTGGAGGGTATTTTTATAAGCATATACCCTTAATATATTATTTTTGCAGAGAATTATCGAAATATTTTCTGTATCAAAATCTGATTTATAAGAAAGCACAATTCCTAAAACAAGACTAATAAATCTACTTTTGTTGCTTGGTTATAGCAGCAAGTCAGCTCCTGTAATGCTCTCTTCAGTATTCACTGTAACCTGACTGAACATCTGAACATTCATTGGTACTGCTACATTTCTAGGAAGGATTAAGTTTAATAGTCCATTTCTTTAGCCTTTCTGGGAAAAAAAAAAAAAAAAAAAAAGAAAAAGAAAAAATAAAGCTTTACATAAAGCTTTTTCAAATTTTAAAATTAACTGAGGCTAGCAGAAATCTGCCCCAAGTACCAGTTTAATAGATGTAAGATAGTAGAAAAAGTTGATATCTAGCTTCAACTTCTCATTAATAGAATAAAGTATATTGTGTTATTCTTGAGGGAAGTTTATTAGTTTCTGTTCTGCTCTCTGCTTCACTGGTGATGTGACACATATATGCAGACTTATTGGCTGGGATGATTTAGAAAACTCATGGGGTGTTCTCATAAACAACGAGCTAATTTGATCCTGGGAAACTTTTTCATGCCCAGTTGTCAAAGCTTTGCAAGGCTGATAGAAACCTAGGTTTAATCAGTGAAAGAAAAAATTAATCTCAAAATTTCTCTTCCTGAAACTCAAATACTTCACATAAAACACAGAGGACCGATAATTTTGAATGTGAATGATCACTCATTCTGTATTGCAAGCTGAGTCCTGCTGCCCTTGTAAGCTGCTTAGACCATGTGAAGACTTGATCAATAATGCACCATCACCTTAGCGTAACTCAGCTCTCCAGGGTAATACAACGTGCCAACACCAAGCTTCAACTAGCATTAGGAAAATGAGTTCTATGGCAAGGGATGTTAGCTCATTTAACCAATTTTACTGTGAGCAGAGAGACAAATCACTGGTACCAAGCTTTCCTGGACACTGTGCTGTCTTTTTCTCCACCATTACTCTTTTTTTCACACTGCTGTACTTGACCATCTTCTTTCCTTCAGTTTGCTACTGCTGGCAATGCCACTCTGGGCACAGAGCCTCAGCTAATACACTCATTGGACTGTACCCTGTTCTGTGCCTTACCTTTAATACTGCCACATCTCTCTAGTGAGAGCAACCCTACTCTTTGGGAAACATTGACCTGCAGGGCTAAAGTGCAATTTCTTCTTTTACAGCACATAAACCAGATGTATTCTTCTGGAGCTTTCCCCATATAACTTACTGGATTCTTTAATGCAATGTTGTTATATTTGTCTCTGGCTTATATCTCATTAAGTACTTGCATCAGAATGAACATTGTGAGGTAACAGGCACAGAGAAGGCATTTAATTTTCCTAGGCCTTTTAAATGGAGGTTGAATTTAGATGTCCTTGCAAAGGCCAAGTAGAGCTCCATGAAATTTCTTTCAGATAACCTGATAGAAAGATACAAGTACTTTTGATTTTGAAATTCAAATACAAATCCCGTAGTAAAATATGTTTATTGAATTTCCTTCATCATTTTTCTCCAGGATGATTTTTCTTCAAAAATTTGCTTGATGATGGGTCTTTCTAGAATAGAAGGTACATTTCTTTGCAATGTCTAATTCTTTATCTGTCTAACAACTAGAGCAGTGAACAGCCCAAATTTGATCCATATTTCATGCTTTCTGTTATTGTATGTGAAAGGCATAGTCTTGCACTATTTTCCTTATTTCCTCTACCACTGCATCCACAACACAGTAACCTTCACACTGAATGAGAATAGCTGGATACAGCTTCCTGCATGGCTTCTCAATTGCTGGCAATTTAGTTGGCCAGATGGGGTTTCTATGGAGAAAGGCTAGGCTATGTGAAGGCTAAGTGTGCCCCTGCAGAGCTCTTGGCTCCTGCTGACTCAGCAAGTTAAGGACACAATCAAATAGTAAAACTTCCACCTCTTTTCTCCCCTGCTTTCTAACCCCTTCTATTTTTCCTTCTTCCACTCATCCAGGACTGTGTCTGTACTACTATTTCAGGTGACATGCTTTTTTCCCAATTAGGATCTGCAGTATCTTGCAATTAAGGGAGTCTTTAGCGGTGTTACTCTAAGTTCCTACAGGGAAACGGTGCAGTCATAGAGACTACAGAGAGGCATGAAGCTTTAGCAGACACACAAAGCAGCAGCTGTGTGTGTAGATAATATGAAATGGTAGGACAGAGCTCTTCAGCCAGGAATGGAGGATAGTGCAGTGTCTGCATATTGTCTCTGTAAGAGTATCAGAATGAGGCATCAGTTGGTTTCTGCTCTTACTGAGACTAGGAAAGCATTAAGAGCAGGAGCAGCAGCTGAGATATATTTTTTTTTTTCCTAGAGAAGCCTTAAAATAGACTAAGTGAGGGCACATATTGAGGGAAATGAGATTTAAGCTGCATTATAAATGGAAATGTCTTCAAATGGTATAATTTTGAAAATGTGCTGAGGCACCAGTCCTTTTAAAAGTCATGGGAACATAGTCATTAACCACACTAAAGTAGAGGAAAGTCCCATAATACAAGCTTACATTTGCAACTGATTGACTTTAGAATGCCTTAAATTGGCACATAAATATTTTTATGAAGGAGAGACAACTCTGGGAAACAAAACACCAAAGAAAGCCAGCCAGTAAAACCACACACCTTACAAGAACAGGCTACCAGCAAGTGAGATTTTGGCCACAATATACTTGTACATCAGATATGAGAGTTTCATTCTCCGTCATGCTTTTTTAAAATGGAAATATGCCCTCTGTTTTAGAAAGGTACGTTTTTTTTCTTCAAAATTTTATCTCAAGTTCAAAAAAAACAGCCACAAGATGAGAATATTTTTATCTCTGCCCAACTTACAACCAGATTTAATGAAGAATCACTAACAGAAATATTACTGTTGTAATTATAATGCACAAGCTGAAGTTTTCCCTTTATGGAGAGCAAAATATGATTTTTAAAACAGCATTTCATGATTGATTAGTCCTCACTTTGGCCCAGACTTTTTTTTCTTTATTTGAATTAGCAAGTCAAAGTGACAGGAGCCTTGAATGGTTTTGATGAGAGCACATGCAGTGAGAAAGCACTACTACATGGGCTGTTCTTCGTCTCAGACCATAAATTTCCAGCATGAATGGGGATCAGTAATTATGTTTTCATTCTTCTACTCTCATTTAGTTGGCATCTAATCCTTTTTTATTAAAGCCAAAACTATTTTCTAAAAACTACTTCTGCTTATGAAGTATATATAAAAGGAAAAAAAATTAACAAAAATTATTTACTCCAATTCTTTGTATTGATGAATCTGACAAAACTGACCATATTCTGTGTATTGTTGATAAATAATTCCAATGTCTTATTGATAACTCTTGCATTTTATGAAATTTTACAGCAGCAGCTATTTGTCAAATATTTGCTTGCTATAATCAGGTGACCATATATATAGAAATATATTCAAATATACACATACAAGCATATGTATATATGTTATACAGGAGCCTCTGAAATGAGGTCTAGGTAAATTAATTTTTCTGGTATGACTTTATTCCATTTACCTAGAGTGGAAGTCAAGAGAAATAGAAGTTTATTTCTATGTTGAAGTTTACTGACCTGCTTCATTAAGGTACTTTCTTTCCTACCAGACATATACTGCATAGTGGATATGAGGCTTGCTGTAGGTTGAAAAGGTGGAAGTTCTGCTGTAACCTAATATACTATTCAATTGAATATATGACTTTAAATTAGTTTTCTTAGCTGCTAATATGTTTTATATTATATATATTCATTTGAGAAAAGCAGAGATATCCTTGAGTGAAGAGAATTTATTCCTGTCTTTTCTTTCACAGAACAATATTTAGTTATTGCATCTATGGATAGCTAAGGCCTCTCTGGACCTGACCCCTTCCTTTCATGGAATACATTTCATGTCTGAATCTTCTTTCTTTCAAGACTTTCCACTAAATTACATTCCATCTGTGAAGCCTACAAACCCTTAATCATGCCTTCTAACAAATGTTATCACACTTATATAGCAAAAGATGCCCAGAGAGAATCATAGAACATTTGGGAACTTCTACCATCTGTGCATCTCCCACTTATGCTTATTCAAGAGTTCTTCCCCACACCCCAGTTCCTTCTTCTCCAAAGTGCTGCATACCTAAGTACATTTCCTTTTGTACAGACAGGGATCTGTGCCCTCCTGTTTGCAACAGAAATTACTATACGCCACAAAATTATATTAAAAGAACATTTTTAGGGTCAAAAAATTAAGTGTTCTTTTCACAGTTATAAAATTATGAAATGAAGCTTTATGTGTAATCATAGCTCCTGTACAAGTACCGGTACTTGTGAAGTCTGACATAGTCTATCATTAGAGCCACATTTTTCTTCTCAAGATCCCTACTTGTTGCCTTGTACAGAGCTGACTTTCTCCTATGTTAAATCAAGGCAAAATCCAAGATTTCACAGTGTTAGAATGTTTAGTTTAAAAGCTGGAGATTGACATTCAATTCCAGGATGGAATTCCCCCATAATATCACGGAACAAAGCATTTTGATTGTGATTTCACCATATCTGAGTTCTTACCTGAAACCATGAGACTGTTTGGCTGAAGAGAACATTTTCAGACACACCTTATGTCAGTGAGAGTTGGGCTTGGATATGTAAAAACTCTATGGATTTTTTTTTACCTCAGTCTCCATAGTGCCTTCCCATTTTTAATACTGCAATCATGATAGCCTGCAGAATAATACAATTTTCCACAAATTATATAAAGTTTCTAAATTTTTTACACAATGCAGTGATATACATGATAAAAAATTCCATTTAATAATTCTGTGTGCAGGATACTGTTCCAACAGTGGGCAGTAAGGCCATGAGACAAATACTGAACATGAAGAAAAAGTTTATTAATAAGTCCAACCTTATATATTTCTGCTGTATATTAATGTTTCAAATATTTTCTTTATTCTATTTTTTATATGCACTTTCTTTTTTATTTTCTTTCTTTCTTTCTTTCTTTCTTTCTTTCTTTCTTTCTTTCTTTCTTTCTTTCTTTCTTTCTTTCATATTATTTTACTATATATATATAATTGAAAATCAATGCAGAAAGAGTACATGAACATGTAATTAGATTGCAATCACTGAATTAAAGGTACTCTGAAAGTATCATTCTGATATTTTCTGACTTCTGTGGGCTATATTGACTATTCATATATTAATATTAATAACAATATTAATATTTATATTAGTTTGGGGGGAGGGTTTGTTTGGGTTTTTTGTTTTGTTTTGTTTTGGTTTTTTGCTAGGTCATTTCCCAGCCAAAACAGCAATAAAAAAAAAAAAATGAACAAACAACAAAAGTCAAATGTTTTCTTATTGATACTTATATGGTTGGTCTGTAGCAAAAACCTTTGCAATTTGAACTAAATATATACAATGCTACCATTGTTTAGAGAGAGAATGAATGGGATAACTTCATAGCAAATTTCACAGCTACTTTTTGACATCACTGATACCTGGAACAGTCAATAGCATTTCTTCATCTTTTTCTCTCTGTTCAGATCTGATTTTCATCCTTCTGTGTTCAAACATGGAAGCTATCTGCTAATATTGTTATGTCCCAGAAGAGAGGTCATGGAATATGAGAGTATTGTAGTTTCTGGACAAAGAGATGAAATTGTCAACAGAGCATTAGCTAAGCATATTTTGGGATACATAAAATGTGAATAAAATATTTGAGGAACTTATTCTCTATAAGTGTCAAATCCTTAACACTTATGTAAATGTAGTATTTCAGTGCATTGCAATTTCAACAAATTTGGATGGATAAATTTTTATATTCAGATGAAAAAACTCCCAAAAGTTAGACTCTTAAAAGCTCAAGTTCATAAAAATACTGAAAATATTTAAATAAGATTGCCTATAAATTTCATCATGGGTAAATCTCGCCTCATTATCAGATATCATTGAATCAGTCTGACTTTTTTCAAAAATTTGAGTATAGCTTTGGACTTGTAAAGAAGTTATATGCTAAAACTCAGTAAAGTAATAAGCAACCAAAAAAAGGGATCTATTATTTGAAGTGTCATGAAGTCATAGTAGTTATCATTCTTTCTTACAACTTTCAGAGGAATAATAATACCAAGTTAAGCTAATAACTACTTCTAAGAATGACAAATGATGAAAACTAAAAAAGTTTTCTTATCAATACTTTGTTTTTATAAGCTTTTTGAAACAGCAATAAATTAAATATATCCTTCTTAAGTCACACTATCAGTCATACAGTCCCCCTTGAAAAAAACAATAGACATTTAGTACAAAAATGCAAAAATCATTCTAATAAATTAATAAATAAGATACTAATAACTTAAGAATTAGCTGTGTTTATGCAATAAAATTGGTACTCCATCAATTTATGGAATCCGTTTTTTCTCATTTCTCCCTTATAAATTTTTTACTGTATTAATTCACAAAATTTAAAACAAACACTTCCTATCTTCACCACCCTATTATTCTATTTTAATTTTCTCATTCTGATATATCTCTCTAAACTTTTCTAAGGTATTTGATACAAGATTGTTCATGAAATATTTCTCAAGGACTTCATATCTATATATAAATATACACTTTCTTTATATTCTGCTTGATAAAACCTGGCAAGTGATAGTATTGCTTGTCATTTGGATTGACTATTGACATTCTGGATGGCTCTGTTCTTGTAAGTGCCAAATCCATGTTTTCAGATTCTTTTATATATTTGTGTATTATTCAACTCTTTTAAAGTGCAAAGTTCCTTCTGGTCAGGTACAGCTTCCTTTGTTCTGGAATGATGTAGTTGTCTTCACTTTCATTGCCCTTCCTCCAATATAAAGCATTCAGACATCCAAAATAATGAATTTTCAGAAGACAATGTAGATGATATACAGGTAACACATGGAGAGGACCGACAAGAAAACATGCAGTAGCAAAATAGTCAAATGTGTTCAAAATGTTACATCTTGTACTCTTTAATGAAGTGTCAAATGTAAACCTTTAGATCTTATTTTAAAAACTGCTAAAAAAACACTGGCTCCACTTTTGCAGAATGTGCAATAAACTCAAAAATACAAAAATTATAATTATTTACTTAGAGACACCCAAATAAATTATGTACATTGTTTCAGGATTGATTCACATTGATTCAGGTTGTTTCACAACCCAACAACAACTGTGATGTGGAAAGGAAGAAAATGATTAATGAAAGCAAAGTCATAAAAGAAGAATTATCACATCTGAAATGAAATTAATTTAAAGACTACAAAACATTCTAAGTCAATAGTCCAATAACCTTTGATGCAGAATTTGGAAGGAATTAATGCATGTATCTGAAGAAATTTTAGGAAGGATATCTGTTTCAAAAGGGAAAGGGAGAAAATAAATAATGTCTCATTAAGATTTTTTGATGGGTTTAGAATGCAAACTTTCAAAATAAATTTTGAAGGTAAGAATGAGTAATTGAACAGAATCACAGAATATTTTAGGTTGGAAAGTACCTCTGAGATCATCAAGTCCAACCTCTGACTGATCACTACCCTGTCAACTAGACCGTGGCTCTAAATGTCACATCCAGCCATTTCTTGGAGGAACACCTCCATGAAGGACGACTCCACCAAGTTCCAGGGCAGTCTATTACAATGTTTAACCCTTTCTGAGGTCCAGCCTGAGCCTCTAGTGGCACAGCTTGACTGTGTGCCCTCTTGTCCTGCTGCTGGCTGCCTGGGAGAAGAGGAACCACCACCTAGATAAAACCTTTGTTCAGACAGTTGTAGAGAGCAGTAAGGTCCCCACTGAGCCTCCTTTTCTGCAGGCTAAACCCCAGTCCTGTGCTCTCTCTCTTAGCCACTCCTCAGGACTACCCACTAGACCCTTGCCCAGCTCCATTGCCCTTCTCCAGAAATGCTCCAGCCCCTCTCAATGTCTTTCTTGTACCGAGGGTCCCATGACTGGGTGCAGTACTCCAGGTGTGGCCTTGCCAGTGACAAATACAGGGGGACAACCACTTCCCTGGTCTGCTGGCCACACCATTCTTGATAAAAGATGTACAGAGAACAGAAGTACAAAGCAAACTTAATAAAATCTATCCATACATATTCCAGATATAAACTCCCATATATCAATATCTTTAATAATTTATCATTCAAAGCAAGAATTATTTATTCAAGGCAAGAAATCTCACATATCTTGACTTGAAAACAGTTTCTGACACGGTATGATATGAAAATAATTACTTAAGACAGAGAAGATAAGGAATCGGCTAATCAGGAGAGGACAACAGGTTGTGTTAGGTGTTTGCATAATTAGATGGAAGCTTCTAAGGGGTTCTTTATGGGGTGTCTCGCCATAGAATTTTCTGATATTTAAGTTAAAAACTAGATCATAAAACCTCAGAGCACACTGCTGAAATTTGCTGGTAAAGCAAGTCTGAAAACCATCAAAATGACCATCAGATGACTTGGTGACTTTCATAATAGAAATGGAATTATTACATTTAATAGTACAGAGAGCACTGTAACTAGATTTTCAGCTATAAACTGTGAGTTTGTCACCTGAAAATGACAGAGAAAAAAAAAATATGCAGCCAATCTACTAAAGAAGGGCTACTAGTTATCAAAACATGTATGTTTTGATTTTTTTTATACATACAAAACATGTAGCTATGAAAAATGCTAATATGGAGTATTAAACAATATTTCTGGGTTATGTAGCTATGAAAAATGCTAATATGGAGTATTAAACAATATTTCTGGGTTAAAGAAGGAGATGTTTGACACTATCACATGAGGTAGAGTACATCTTCATGATGAAAATCATCAAGCACTAGTGTCCTCCGTATTTACCAAGGATTCACTGAAAACATCAGTAAAAATGGAGTGGAGGGAGGTGAAGTGGAAGCTCATTAACACTATCTCAGGAACACAGAACTTAGATCTGAAAGGAAATTGAAAAATCTTGTATTATTCTGCAGAAAAAAACTCCAACCCTAAGATGAGAGAAATTTGCTCTGTAAATAACTGAATGGGTAAAAAGACCCTGCAGATGTTTATAATGTATTGAACTTTGCAATTAGTATTAACATAAGAATTTTACATACATATATAAAAACAAATATTTTGAAGATATGCTTTTCATGCAGCGTGAATTCTTGCGCTAATGGAGGATAGGACTCAGTGCCCAAGAATGTCAGTTTATTCTGAGTCATAAAGATCACCTCTGGGGTCAGCAAAATAGCATTTACACCAAGTGTTTTAATGGCATTTATTTTTATTCAAATGCACATAATTTTCTTTTTCACACATCTGTTTAAGATCTACATGAACACTTTAAACATCATTCACTCACTGGGTGCCTAATGCAAAGCTTATTTAGTCAAAGTGCTTCCATTGACTTCTGTGTGCTTTGGATTAGGTTCTCTATCCTTACCCATAGCCAGCTGCTGCAGGCTGCAGTTTTATCACAATATTAGACTGCTTTTCTCTTTTCCCCATGATCTTAAGAGGGAAAGAAAGAGGTATACTTTGGCTTGCCCTGTCTGTTCTTTAATGTGCTTAGATTGCAGTTATTTCCTGCTGAGCCCTGGATGAGGTTTAGTTTGTTGAAGAGCAACTTTTTAATCATCTCACAGAATGAATGAACTAGAAGATATGTCAGGTTTCTATCAGAAGATGAAAAATGTAGAAACTTATCAGTACCTCTCTTCCTCTAGATATATTGTAGGTCATAAAAACCCACTCTGTACAGTACTTATTACTCTTATAAAGGACACTAAAAATGTAATTATGCAAAGGATGATCACCAAGAAACTTTGCAAAACAGCTAAAGCAGACATAAAAGTATGGCTGTCTCTGCATGGCAAAAAGTGCAAGTGAGACAGCAGGAGGTCAGATGATTTCAATGTCAGGCTATATCATCTTCCTCACAGGAAGGGTGCCTACAACCCCTTCATTCTTATTTTGGAAAGTTCAGATAGCAGTGCAAAACATTTTAGAAGCAAAGCTGATCAGGTATGTACCAGCGCTTAACAGCCTAAAATATATTTGGCTACTCCTATTGGTTCTAAAAGGATCCTGTTTTAGGGTGATAGAACCAGGGCCTTCTTCAGCTTCTAATTGCCATTTTGGCTAAATACCAAAGCTGTTCACTAGATCTGTACAGTTTAGGCATGGATATATAAGTTTATGTTTTAATGTAAGGCGCAAGGGACTCCGCTTCTTCATACTTTCTCACCATTAACAGTTGATTGCAGCAGGTGAATAGCCCTTACTGTTTTTCAGTGAATAGTCATGTTTCTGATAAGTCAAACAATGAATTGGGAAAACTTTGTCTTCTTCTCCACTGTACAGCTGAATAAGGTTTATAGAAATATGACCTCTAAGGATTCTAATGCACTTTTCATATGAAATGAAAGGACAAGACTAACATTATAAAATACCTAGTAAAGAAGTTTTAGACATTGCAGAACAAAGCCAAATAGCCTGTCCAATAAGCAATCAACAGCTTGATCCCATTCTAAATTACTTTCCATATTTATTTCCCTAATATAGAACAACTGTGTTCTATACCCTAGTTGTTCTGTACAATTATTGCATTTTTTTTTCCTTCCAGAGCAGTAATTGTTTTGGTGAGCAGACAGAAACATTAAAGATACCGACTAAGTGAGTATATGTGTAGATTTATAAATTTCATCTCAGTTGTAGTCAATAACATATATTGGCATTAACTTACAGAAAGGAATAGAGCTGCACAACATTCAATTATCCGTAACAGTGCTTGAATTATAATATCAAAGGTTCTTCTTCAGAACTTCTCAGAGTTGCCATCTTGCTTGAGTATTTTATCTTCTGCTCAACAGGCAGCTGACACAGTACAATCATGAAGACATGCCAGATCTTTTATGCTCTCCTGAATTATATTAAAAATAAATTAAAGCTGTACAGGATGCACTTAGAATATTAGACAAAAGATTTTACGCTCTCATGATTTTCATTTAAAAATGAAAGAAAACTTTAATTCAGAGGAAAATAATTTGTAGCATCCTTAAAACCAGCAAAAAATGTAGGGCATAGAACTGAAAAATCACACTCGGTCAAGAATTCTTCAAGACTACATTGAAGCAAAATGATTTTACGAAGTCTGTGTACTCAGTTTGGTATATAAAGGATATGTGACAGAAGAAAGTGAGAGCACAAGCTAAAAAGCATCTGTATTTTAATATATCTCTAACAATTTAGTAACATTCTACTGGTATCCATCAAATTTCATGACACAAGATTTCCTTGTATGTGTACTTCTCTGGAATACAAACCTGTTTTAAAGGCTTCAGAAAGAGTTCTTTGACTTTCCAGCAACCCACCAAATAAAGCAGAACTGATTGCCACATATTTAAAAACAAACCTTGATGCGAATCCAGAACATATTAAAATAACATAAAAAATCTGGAAAGAGTAATTTTTTTTAGTGGTTTGCCTGGGTTACTGAACAGTTCATAGCACTTCTTTTTATCTCATGAGGCAATTTACAAAGCACCTTGAGACCTTCAGTGTGTTCACTACTGATATCCACCTTGGAAACATTTTATTTTTAAAAAATCCCAAAATTATTTCCCAACGTAACTGTCCTGTTCTCCACTAGTGAATCTATATACGTATCAACTGAACACATTCAATATTTCCAGTGACAATGAACATGTTTTTTCTTTCTTTGGCAGTGCTACCTGGCTCTCATACATTTCATTTAAATAAAGTCCAGCTTTAATTATCTCTCCTGAATGTCTCATTGTAACTCTTTATGTAGAATATGTACTAATGACTCATAATTTCCTTCTATTTTTACAGGAACTCATGAAAGATCACCCTATTTTTTTCTATAGTTTACTTTGCCTTTAGAGAACTTGAACAATAGTTTAATTTAATAATAAATCTATAAAATAGTGGGGCTGGGTGCAGCACTCATTTACATCCCTGCAAATCCAGGAAAGTGAAACATATGCATATGAAACAAATTTAACAAAAATGTACTTCCCCTCATAAAAATCCATATAAGTTTTTAAAGACCTTTCAGTAATATTTCCTCCTGATTTTAAGCATATTCTGTCTGTCATTTCTGCATGATTATGAGTGGTTAGACTTTTTGAGAAAGAAAGAAAGAAAGAAAGAAAGAAAGAAAAAGAAAGAAAGAAAGAAAGAAAGAAAGAAAGAAAGAAAGAAAGAAAGAAAGAAAGAAAGAAAGAAAGAAAGAAAGAAAGAAAGAAAGAAAGAAAGAAAGAAAGAAAGAAAGAAAGAAAGAAAGAAAGAAAGAAAGAAAGAAAGAAAGAAAGAAAGAAAGAAAGAAAGAAAGAAAGAAAGAAAGAAAGAAGAAAGAAAGAAAGAAAGAAAGAAAGAAAGAAAGAAAGAAAGAAAGAGAAAGAAAGAAAGAAAAATCTCAATAATTGTGATTTGTAAGAAATATATACACACTGAAAAAATCACTATCTCTTTGGCTAAATATTATTTTTCATCACTCTTTATAAATGTGAGAACTCAGAAATGCTGATGGAATCATGCCTACGCAAGAACCTTTGAACAGACTTCAGATATGAGAATAAGAGTGAACGATTATAATCATAAGAGATTTAACCACTGTTATCCAACACAGATTAATTCTGCTCTGTCAGTAACTTTTATGGTGCATAATCTAGCTCAAAATTCTCAGAGAGTAAAAGAGAGAGGATTTAAAGAAAGTAACTGGTTTCATGCTTAGCTAGCATTCAGTTAAATAAGCACAGATGTGGGTTTTATCTGCTTAAAAGTGAATCTGTGGTTTTCTTATTTAAACTCTTACGTTTTAACGTCCATCAGAAAGGCTGTTGCTGCAATGAATTATTTAATCACTGCTGCCTATTACATGCTACTACACAGCAGGCACATTTGCAAAGCTGTGAAAGGCACTGGCCAAGTGTCAGCACTCCCTGTAACTCAGCCGGCCTCCCAGTACATTCACCGCGAGGAATTCAGGGAGCTCCGAGGCGGCCAGAGGGCACTTGTGGTAGGGAAGGGAGTGAAGAGGTCACAACAGAATTGCACCAGACCAGCAGGACACTTTGGGGAGATGAAAGGTCACCGCGGGCTCCGTGCTGCTGTGCTGTCATTTCAGCTGCTTGTCCCTTGGTGGAGTTCTTGAGTTAGTTTCGCCTTTCCGTCAAATGCCTTTAAATGCTTCATGTGGGGGTTCTGTCCTTGTTTTTACCCTGCTTTCGAATTTGCTGTCCTGTTTACTGTACTTAATCTTTTCCACGTATTATCATGAATACGTTACTTTCAAGGCAATGATTGTTTTGGTTTATTTTTTTCCTTCTGAAGCTTCTTTTTCCTTTGTGAGTGCAAATAGCAGCATGCAGTATGTATTTGTTAATGTATAGAGTGGTATGAATAGGTAAATAATCTGTCTCTCTTTAACCAGAGACTGACTCCCACTGCAGATCCCAGAAGTAATTTTCCAGTGAGAGCCACTGACATTCCTAAACTGTGAAAACCAAATTGTCGTGGGCAGAAAGCGCCAACTGCGGACGCGAGTTCGGCTGCCGGCGCCAGGAGCTGGGCTCAGCCAACACATGAAGATAAACCAGCCATTAATTATATCTGCATATTTTAACGATGACCCCTGTCTTTCCAATCAACAACTACAACGACAACAAAGCCCCAGTGCAGAGCACCGGGAGCCTGGGGCATACAGAGAGCCGGGGAAGCTCCCAGGCTGCTTTAGGCTTTCCCCACGTACGGCAGGCTGCGATTGTCAGCAAGACGGATTCCTTCCCACACGCAAGATGCCACTTCGGTGGCCTTATCAGATGTTCCCTTTAAGGACACAAGCTCCTATTTCCCCTCTATATATCACCAGCATCTCGGGCTATTTTATTTATTACAGACGATTACATTTGTGATCCCTCTTCCCACTTGATCTCCCCAGATCAGGAGGACAAATGCCGTGTCGTGTCTGAGCGCGTGTGGGCGTCTGTGTGCATCGGAGAGGGGGGGCAGGCGGCAGCGGGGGGAGCCACACTGCGCAACAGATTCGCCCGGGAGGGACAAACCTCCCCCGCCTGAAACAGCTGGGCTTGCTCCGACCGCCCCCGGGAGGCTGGGGGTGCACGGCCGCGGGCCCGGGACTCTGCGCTGCCGGGGAGGCGGAGAGAGGGTGCGGGGTTCGTTCTGCTCGGTCCCCGCTCCAAGGAGTGGGATGCGAGGGGGGAGCGGGGGACGCGGGGCCAGCACAGCCCCGTCCTCCCCCCGGCAGCCGGGGCACGTGGCTCGGGGAGCGCGGCCATCCACCATGCAGCGCACGTCGGGCCCATTTCCCACGCCGGCCGCCTGCCCTGGGGAGGAGGGGAGGAGGGGAGGGAGGAAGGGAGAATGATAGAAAAGGGGGGGCCGTTACCTCTGCTCCGAAAGAGGAACCAATCCACTGTGAAGGACGCAGCACTCCCGAGCAGGAAAGACATTGCACATTCAGAGAGAGATTGCATGTGAAGACACTGCAAAAAAGAAAGAAAGGAGGGGGGGGGACTGGGGGCCGCAGACCGCGTGTGAAAGGCATAGTGTGTGTAAGAGAGGCCAGCGAGGGTAGGAAGGGAAGGGGGAGCAATTGCACATGGCAAGAGAAAGAAATCACTCATTCGCTTGAAAGAGGCACTCGCGAGCAGACCGTAGTAGGAACAACGGGGAAGGAGACGCAGGCAAGAGGCGAGCGTCCATGCCGTGCAACAGCCCGGAATCCCATTAAAGTTTATGGCGGGGAGGTTAAAAAAGCTCTCATCCCGCCCCTTCCCTGGCGAATACATTAAGTTTCCTGGCTGCGTTTAAAAACACAAAGGACGGGAACAGCGGGAGCTGCCGTTCGCAGTTGCATTTCCTGCGCAGGGAGCCAGTGAAATGCAGTATGCTGCTATTCCTACGAACTGGCATGTGTGGATCTTACACTGTGAGCAAAATTTCCTCCTCACGGAGCTCCAGAACAGCGAGGGGGAATTTTGATAAATTCAAGTTGCTTGGCAAATATAATAGGGATTTGGTACTAATCCTACTTAACCCGCTGCGAAGATGCTGCGCTCCCGAACCCCCCTCCTCCGTCCGGGACTGCGGCGGTGAGCACTGAGCCTGCGCCGAGCTGGGCTTTCTCGCTGATGCTGCAGATAGAAAGACGAGTGTCTCCGGCATCGGCGGGGGAGGGTTTTCGTGTTCTGGCGAGGCAGGGAGAGCGGCCGGGGCCGGTGCCAGGGCCGGAGGAGGCGCCGGAGGAGCAGCTCTGCAGCCCTCCGGAGAAGGGAGCAGTCCCTCCCTCCCTAGCGCCGACTCCATGCGGCGCGGCTCTGCCCCTCTGTGCCTCTGGACTCCTCAAGGAAAGAGGTGGCAACCTTCCCTCCCTCCTACAATCACTCACCGCCCCAAATGACAAAGACACGCTGTGACCGCTGCTTTGAACCACCTCAACATATCCGGCAGCTTTCCGCTCAAATACATCATCTCCATGAGAGAGACATTTCATTACATTCGTCTGCATGCTTTTTTATTCAAAAGATCCACATATAACGAGGAATGCACACACAAACACATACAGAACGCGCAACAACTTGTTTTCCCGCATGTGCTCACAGAGGGAGAAGGAGCAGCTGGATTCCTGCCTTCCCCTGGCTGCGCGCACGCACGCACACACATGTACCCGCACACACACACATGTACACACACACACACACATGTACACACACACACATGTACCCGCACACACATGTACCCGCACACACATGTACCTTCACACACATGTACCCGCACACACACACACATGTACACACACACACACCCCAACACGCTCCTGCCCTCCCCGCTGCCTGCCCCACGCTCGCCTGCCCCCTGAGTCTCCCTCTTTTCCCTCCGGGCTCCGAGCAGAAAGGACAGGTAAGGAGCCAGGCAGCACCAAGGGTAGGGCGGGAGCACACAAAAGCCATAGGCGATTAAATGGCTCAAAGTCAAAAGGAGACACGAACTAGGGACGTCAGAATAAGCAAAGTTGAGCCGGAGAGCTTTACCATTAAAGTTTATTTCCCACTTACCCAGGTAGGTGACGCTACATTTTAGCAGTCATTGAAGCAGCAAGTCTCTGTTCGGAAATAAATCTGTTACTTCTTACATGTGTTT